AGAAGAAGAAGAAGAAGAAGAAGAAGAAGAAGATTAGCTCCTGTCACCCAGGATCAGTGTGTTCCACATAGTCCCCCTTCCGTCAAGCGGTGCTTCGCTGAGGTGAAATGTGATCAACGCGACAAAAACCCACGCCCCGCCTGCTCCGATCCCAAAGCCTTGAAAAGCAATCCCCCGCTGTCAAACACTATTTGCAATCGTACATTTTAAATAAATTGGTGACGAAGTGCACGAAGACACCACATATCTCCTGTTTTTATCATCTTTACTTATCTCACTAGAGTCAGCCGATCTCACCAACGTCTTGACAAGATAAGCATTCTAGATCTTAGAATTTTTCACCTCTTTAATTTCCTCAGAAATTACTTTTTGAACTTGCACTAGATCAGTATATTCAAGGCCATTAGGCACGGGTAAAAGTTTTTAGATTCCAAGAACAGCAGAATTTTTGGATCCATAAATTTCGGGAGCACTCAGCAGCTGCTACCTCTCATTGCATAGCGTGAATAACGTATGCGAAAATAAAAAACTGATTTCATACAGAAAAATCGATACAAACAGCAAGGTCATAGAAGATGGTCAAGAGGCTAATCAATAACGTAAGAAAGTTCAAGCACTGTGGGCAGCAACTTTCTTAGACAATAGTAATTATTCAAGTAATCTAATGTTTGTCAACAAAAGATTGCGCCATAATTAAATGCCAATAATGCAAACAGTAGAAAATAACTAAAAATGAATAAAGAATAAAAAATATTACGCTTAAACTAAAATCAACTAACTAAAAAACGGAAACTAAAAGTAAACTAAACTAAAGTAAACTCATTTAAGTAAAAATAATCTAAAACTAAAATAAAAATTGTATACACAATAATTAACCGAACAGTAAAATGATAACTGAAATTAAATTTAACTAAGTTAAAAAATTCAAATAAAATAAACTAATGCAAAGGTGTTGCGCATGTAAATTGAAGGTTAGAGCAGCTGTTCACGCCCCGAACTATGCTCATCTAGCTCCAGAATGCTGCGTTACAGTTCAGGTATATTGAAGTAGATGACCTCCTAACCACCAAAATTCATTGTCGAGAATACTAAGAAACCCAATAAACCATGAAGTATAGGATAATAGAAATATGCCCAAATTTGGTCCACCCACTAAACTATAAGTACGTAGGAAATGTAGGTAAATTTCTGTGTTCATTTACGGCGCACTATTCTGTTGCGAAAACAATAGATCATTTTAACAATTTCTGGGACCCAAAGTAGGATTCCATCAATCACATGTCCATTTTGTAGACTGGAACAAACAATGAAATAATTTCCTGTGCGTTGTCATTAAAGCTACAGGGAGGGCTTTCGTGTGAGGCAGCCGCTAATGTTCAAAGAAGTTTCTTTAATAATTTTCTTGGTCTGCAGGCTTTCTTTCTGTGGCCTTTCTTCTCCTTCCTCCGCTACTTCACCCCACATTTTAGTTGCGTACAAAAATTACAAGTCTTTAACTTCTTTTAAAAGTGTGCATGTTCCCGC